TACATAATACATCTATATTTTTGTATATTCCATATTCTAGGAAATGACATCATATTCGCTTTAACCAATCAAAACAATATGGTACTTCGAATCGATTTAGAAGATATGGAAGGTGGTCAAAGATATGCAGAATATGATGAATTCTTGGTGCGAAGTGAAAGGGAACTGTATAAAATGAGTTATAAAACGTACAAGGGTGACGCAGGTGAGAATTTACATTCCGTAGATCAAACAAATTATAAATATAACTTGTCATGATATACATTTATTTATCGCTATCTACCAATGATAAATGGTACTAAAGTACATTATCTTTAACAGGGTGTACAATGTTTTTGAGAAATATTTGAGGGTTTAGAACAGGTAAAAGGATTCTAAGAACTAATGTTTGGTTTTTGTGAGAATCATTTCTTAAAGAAAGTCAAAATAAAAGTAGATTTTAATAATCAACAGAAGAATACAAACACATATTTTATAAAAATATCTGAGTAAAGCATACATTACATGACCTAAAATTCTGACGCAACAATCGGGTTCGTAAATCAACATTTTGATGATATTTTTATTGCGTTGTTTTTAGGGGACTCGTTTTCAACCCACAGTAACATGATGTTTTCCACCAGGGACAGAGATAATGATAAATGGGAGAAGAACTGTGCCACGACTTACAAAGGAAGCTGGTGGTATAATGATTGTCATCACTCTAACTTAAATGGTTTGTATCTTAGGGGACCACATGAACAATTCGCCGTTGGTATTAATTGGTATCATTGGAAAGGACATAAATATTCTCTGAAGAAAAGTGAAATGAAAATACGACCAGTTGGATTTGTTTCATAGAAAGAACCACAAAAATGAAATATAGAAATATAAAGTCTGTTTATTTACACTACTCAATGTTATGTTCATTATATCTTTATAGTTATCAATGTCAGAAATCTTTAAAGAAATCTTTATTGTAAATCTAATGAAAATTATAATATTTTGGAAATTCTAAAAAATATTCGTATTACAAGACTCTGTTTATTTTCTGTTGATCACGTGTTTTTAGTATAGAACTTTTTATATTCTATAAATAATTATTTTTTATACCCACAACTCGTCTGACAAAGTCTTTTCCTCAATTTAAAACGTTGTCAGTTGTACAAACAATGACAAAGTCAATACTTCTATTTATACCAATATACTATAGAAGGTAAAAGGATGATAGTTTCATTCTTGTTAAAGATGTACAATGATGTTGATCTGAAGTTATCGTATGTGAATATGGCGCCATCTACTGGTGGATACAAAGGCACTAAAATATTGAAGAACTGGGGTGGAGATGGGAAATATGTTGAATAGAAGAAATACTGTTATGGTTTTTATTATTATAACTTTAAAAATATAAAAAATTAATATTCCTGTTTGTTTAAGAACATTATAAATTTGAAACTGACAAAAATCTTAGTGATTCTCAATATTGATAATTTCCATTGTATGTTACTTAATTCAAGTACTACATTTAACAATCACCTTAACATTAGATTTTTTACAGAAGTAATCACATTGAGTTTAGGAGTAAGCTTATGAATGAAAAGACTTTCTGTAATTTTGGTTCTGTTCATCGTTCGTCGTTGCAAATTAGAATCAAACACATCGTTAAAAGTCAGTCATGTTTATCCTGCACTTTGGGAAGGAAGAGTGTATATATTGAAGGTTTTAATAAGTGTATATTTTAAACAATAAATCATGAAATATATTAAAACGAATACGTGACTGGTTTATTATTATGAAGAATAACATTCATCAAGTCAGCTGTGAAAAGAATAACTTAGTGAGTGAGTGGTAAACTTTATCCTGTAATAGTAACATTTTCTTGTCTGCACAAAGTATTATCAAATTTGAAATGATGTTCTTGGGTGGAAAATTCGTGAGTGTCTTAAAAACAATGCTTATGGAATATAATTTTATAATTTTTGTATTCTGGTATACAAGATATGTGTGTACAAGTGTATAGTTTCATCTAAGAGCATGTTTTTATAGAGTAGTCAATATTCAGGTCTTGTGTATATAGAGAAAAGCATTTCATCAGGTTAAAACACGTTATATCTATATATTCTATAGACTTTAAATTCTATATTTCCATTTTATTATGTCATTCTTAAAACGGTCCCTTTACAAAGTTAATTATATCTAACCAGAAAATGGATGAAAAATGAAAAATACACGATAAATCGAATTTTGTAAAAAATATTACGATTATGTGAAAGTGTTTTAAGTGAGGAATGTTCGGTGTAAACAATAATATATAATATTGAAACATATAAACATTGGTTTAATGGTATAATAATTATGTGTTTGAAACCATAAAACAAAAATGAATACCACATCGAAGACAGAGTCGACATCATAAATTACGTTCTGTTAAATTAAACCTGAAAGTAAACTATGCTTGTTTTTCTGTAAGCTACCTTTTCTGATTTTAGTTTTATTTATGTATACGGACGTAGATGTCTGTATATATACAAAGAGAGTTTTACGTCTTCACCAGGAATAGTATTTATATAAGTGATAATTTTATTTAATGACAATAATTATCTAAAATACTCTTGTAAAGTTTGTGTTATCTTTTTCTCATTATGTATTCTTATTGGCTATATATAATTAATCCGGTAAAAGGACTGTTCTAGGAGTGGTATCGTAAACTGGAAATATAGAATTTAGTGAATGTTTAAAGTAATGAAATTATAAAGGAATGTATTGCCTTCTAATGTAGTAATTCTCTGTTTAGCCAGATCTGTTAATTCTACCAGAGTAGACGACAGAGAATCGACAATTCCTTCCATTATTTGCTTAGTTACTGTTCTACGTTTTAATTGAAATAAGTTTAAAAACTTATTTCAAAATATCAATAATCTATATACATATATAATGTATAATAATCGAAATATGAATGCATTTTACAAAATACAAGTCTAGTAAAACACAACCAAGACAAGTTACTTTGCACAGACCAAAGGTTATTTTTATGTAATTTGATACGGTAACATGAGTGCACGTGAGTCGCGTCATTGTAACTCATGTATTGTTAACCAGACACGGCTGAAAGGTCAATATAATAAATATATATATAAATTTAATGTTATGAGATTTAAGCTATTTAGTCTAAACATTTATGTTTTCGTGTTATAATTTGTGTTCAACCTAGAATGAAAAAGGCATAATTTGTATTTATTTCCTAATTTTTTATGTTGGTTGCGAGATCGGTCAAATCTACAGAACCCGTACAGAGATTAATTACTGAACATATAAAGTTTTTCTCTAGAAACGTTTGATATCTATCTCGACATTATAAAGATTTTGCATGGGAATTTCAAAATTTTCTGACGCATAAAAGTATTTTTAAT